AATGTGAAAAAAGCCACAAATTTTATGCCCTTAGTGGACTGCAGAATATTGGCCCAGACTAATTTCTTCCCTGTCTCCATAGCATAAGAGATAAAGGCAGAACTGAGCTGGCAACAGAGAGCATATGCCTTTAAACCAACAAGTTGATGCAAAGCCAATTAAATATATAATACAATCTCAATTTATGATCAATCTATGACAGCAATATAGGTGTTTGTGTATATATATACACATGCACATGTATTTTTAAAATTTAGACTCACAGACTGTCATGTTCATTTAAGCTCTTTTCAACATAATTTGATGATCTCTTCAGCAAAATGGAACTTTATTAGCAGACTCTTGCCTGCCCACACTCACGGAATAGATTGTTCACTTGCAGGACACACTGCAGGTTAAGTTACACACTGAACCACAAATATGTGAATGAAGCTACTGTCTATTTTAAAACAGGTGTTACTGGGCGCCTGGATGGCTCAGTCATTAGGCGTCTGCCTTTGGCTCAGTTCATGATCCCAGGGTCCTGGGATCGAGCCCCGCATCAGGCTCCCTGCTCAGCGGGGAGTCTGCTTCTCCCTCACCCTCTGCTTGCCTCTCTGCCTACTTGTGCTCTCCCTCTCTCTCTGTCAAATAAATAAATAAAATCTTTAAAAAAAAAAAAACCACAGGTGTTACATTTCATGTCAGAAAAACCAATTATCACAAAAAGATATTTCTGTATATAGAAAGGAAGTTTAATCAGATTATATTTTTTAATTTTCAAGCCTCACAATTAGGCTAATTGCTTTAGTTAGCATAAAATATAGTAGTTCCAATGCTGGTGTTCAAGACTAATAAGTAAATAAAGCAAACTAAAAGAAAATTAACTTCCTTTGGTTTGATATAAGCAGAAAAATGCAAGTAAAAATTAGGGATTCCAACCACAAAAAAGCATGTAAGCCTTGTGAATTAGATCTTCCTTCTCCAGTTGGTTCATCTTACACAACTATCTTGCTAGTCTGAAGTAGAAGTAAAGCTGATGGAAGGGCTGATGCAAAATTTCTGCACTATTTTAAATGACTACATTTAGGAGAGCCAAGAAGCTGAAATGATCTTCAGTCTTCTGTCTCTGCCTCACTCTGACATACTATCAGTTTGATCTTAATACTGTGGAATTAAAATGCTCTCATTTAACTTAATCGGCAAACATTTTCTGTAAAGGGCCATATAGTAAATATTTTAGGTTTTGTGGGTCAAGAGCCTAAACTGTGGCACTTACATAAAGAGGAAAACTCCACTAATTTTTTATTGATGAAATTAAAATTAAAAATTAAAATATAATAGTTTGTTATAATACATATCTACTACTGAGAAAGAATAGAATTCTTTTTCGGGGTGATAGTATTTCACTTAATTGGAATTCAGTTAGCGTTCTCTATCATCAAAATCAATTACAAATGTACATCTGTCAATGCTGTATTAACAGGATTTTATGTATTTCATTTTTAAAAAAGTCTTTTGCACACACAGATAAGTACTGCCAAATACTGATATTAATCTGCAAGCATATGATTTTAATTGAGCATATTCATTGCTTGAAAGGCATTTATAGAATTTTATTACATTCTTCTGATATTTTGCCTTTTAACATGTCATTACATTGTAGATTAATCACTCCCAATTGAAGGTTAGGTGGGAGCTCCTTAATTGCAGAGTTAAACGGATTCTGAAATGTGAAAATTTCCTTTGCATCCAGGTCTGAAAAACACTGATTAAAATATAGTTTGAGTCTGGAAAATATACTTGCTGCAGATCTGTGTGGGAATGAAGATCCTAGTTCCTGTTTTAACTTCTGACAGCAATGAAAGTATATACAATACATTAAAGTAATTTGACATTGTTTGTGATTCAAATGTTAGTTGTTGTGAAACTGAGTTTACTAAAGTGCCATTTTAACATATAGGCACTGTTTTGCCTTACAATTCTAGGCTGAATTAATTAATATTAGCAAGTCTACAGCAAAAGCTAATTTCTAAAGCCATTCGGTGTTCAATAGCCGTGGCTGAAGGCAGTACTGGATTCAGAAAAATTTCAACTTGGCTCTGAGCTCAAAAACAATTACAAGAAAACTTCGCTACTGCTAAGCTATCAAATTACTGTGTGGTAGGCAAGTCGAGATATTCAGCTTCTGTTTCTGACAATGATTCACTGAAGTGATGACAGTTAAGTCCATGAGAGTGAATGAAGTTCACTACTGATACTGTTACTGATCAGTTATGTGAGAGATTCAAACCTTTTCTACAATGTATCTGCTGATGAATACAACAAAGAATTACAGGCTTTAAAAATCGTACATTTTCACAATCTTTGTAAATTTCTCCTACTAAGTCTTCTTCCACATGCATTTTTCCAGGATCAGTTGTAACACATCTTAGCAGATTCCCCTTCAGGTTGTACTGAATTAGCATTTTTGTAACTCTTTAAAAATAGTTTCTCCTGTAGTTGTTCCATGCAGATGATTCAAACTCTTAAAAACTCTGCACTGACACCTTGAATAAACAACTCAGTAACATCTAGCTAGTTATCAAGAGTCCAGGAAAAATACTTGAAATTTGCCTGGACTTTTAACTATTAATGTTGCTCCCAAAGTCCTTAACTCTTCAAGCAACTGTTTTTGCAGAGAGGCTAATCGTCTTAAATAAGTTTATTTTTTCTGGACATATTTCTTCAGCTACCACAATCAAGCATGAATTAATTGACTCATCATTGGTAAATGGCTTTCCCTGCATGGGCTACAAATAAGCCACTCAGAAACTTACTTTAACTGCAGCCTTATTTTTATTCTTTGATGTTGGTGAAGAAATTCTGCTATGATGAGATGTCCCACTTTACATTTTCTAAATTTTCTGATCATTGTTTTTACTGAGTTGGCATGATGAGTGTTTATCTGGTAATGTCAAAGGTTACTGTATTCTTTTAGCAGAGCTATAGTATCACTGCATAATAAATACAGTGCTTTGCCATCTAATTCAATAACAAAATAACCCACACTCCACTGTACCTTAAAAGCATGACATTCAAAGTTGCCTTTTTTCTTTTTCACGCAATGGGTATGCAATGGTAACAAAATGTTGCAGTATGGAGACAGGCTTTGTACTCAAGATGCTGAGGAGTTGTAACTGCATTACTGGGATTTATAGTGCACTGGGCAGCAGTATGACGTGATGAGAACACCACATCTGGTTTCTGCTGCAACTACTAAATCCTGGTGTCACAGTGCGAAAGCAGTCATAGACAACAGATACCAAGCAAGTGTGGCTGTGTCCAATAAAACTTTATGTATGGATACTGAAATCTGAATTTGATATTATTTTCATATGTCCCCAAATGTTACTATTCTTTGGATTTTCTTCAACCACTTAAACATGTAAAAGCCATTCTTAGCAGGCAGGTCAAATATAAAATAGGTGGTGGGTCATAGTATGCCTATCTCACATTGAACTCATTTTACTATGAAAGGCAATCTAGGATAGAAATTTGACTCCATGTAGACAGTGGAGCTTCACTGCCACACTGAACTTCAGTTTCTCATCTCTAACATGAACATAATATTAGTACTCACCTCAAAGGTTTCTCTGAGCATAAACTGAGTGAATATGTAAATCATTTAAAACAGTGCCCAGCATATATAAGCTATTAATATTGCTTACTGAGTAGAATTCAATTAATTTTAAGTGGATTTTAGTTCCTATTAGTGACTCTCTATGATTTAAAACTCCCACTGGAGGTCTGAGGTGAGCAGCCTACTTGGATGAATATTACAGATGTCTCCAAGTAAGACAATTCCATAATATATCACCACCAATGTTTCTGTTATACATCCCATAATCCTACTAGCACTTTCATTTCTAAGTATTTCAAATGGCTAAGTATTACTCCTTTTTTCAGGTACTAGCTGCAACCCCACCATAAGAATAATTTTTGAACAGACCATCTCTATTCAAAATTTGGCTACATATCTGGATAAGTGAGCAAGTAGGAACAAAATGAAAATTTTAAGCAGTATTTTTGACAACAATTTTATACCAGAAATTCATAAATAAATCATTCTATATAAGTGATTGGCTCTGTTAACTGAAAGGCCTTGGATGAGACTCAGTACAGATATACCTTTATTACCCTAAAACAAATCTTGTTTAAATATCTAAAAGCCACAAAAGTTAGATTAAATCTACTCATTTTTTTTTTTTTTTAAAGACTTAGTATTTTGAGAGTGACAGAGAGAGGGAGAGGGGGCAGAGGAGGAGGGATAGGGAGAGAGAATCTCAAGCACACTCCACGCTGAGCACAGAGCCTAATGTGGGGCTGGATCCCACAACCCTGAGATCATGACCTCAGCCAAAACCAAGAGTCGAATGCTTAACTGACTGAGCCATCCAGGCACACCTTATTCATTATTTCATATACACAAGTTTCACCACCACCACCCCAGCACCCCCATCAAATATTTAAGATTAAGGACTCAGGAGGGATGCCTGGGTGGCTCAGTCAGTGAAGCATCTGCCTTTGGCTGAGGTCATGATCTGGGGTCCTGAGATCATCAAGCCCTGCATTGGGCTCTCTGCTCTGGGGAGTCTGCTTTTCCCTCTCTCTCTGTGCTCACTCGAGCGCTCTCTCTCGCTCTCTCTCAAGTAAATAAAATCTTAAAAAAAAAAAAAAAAAGACTAAGGACTCCGAAGACTAAGGACTGAGGGCCTTTTCTTTTGGATTGGTTGTCTTAATTTTAAATGTTCCTTCATACCCCACATTATGAAATATATACATTTGTATAGACAATAAAATATGGTATCTCTGACTTTACTCTTGTTTTTTTTTCCTAATTCTTCTTGTTTGTTAGTTGTATAAATAATTAGCTGCAGGGAAAAAAATCAAAATGTATTCATTAAAAGAAACTCTGGGAAATATACAAAAGCAAAGTACCCAAAATAGTGATTTCAATTAAAACCATAATAACTGCTCACCTACAACCAGGCCACATTCTGGACAGATCATATCACCAGCTCTGTAGTCCTCCACTAAAATCGCATCTGGATGGTTTGGACACGTGACTCTTGGAAGAGCATCCAAGCTAAATGGGGAAAAAAAAAAAAAAAAAAGAACTTTTTATATTCTCCCAACCAATATGTAACAAAGTAGTCTTTTGGGGGGAAGAGGGGTAAAGAAAGATTTTGAACACTTTCCCAATACTGTACATATATAGTACACTTAAGCTAAATCTTGAAAGTAAACCAGTTAGGTAACTTTTAATTCCAGCTAGTAATTAACAGATTCCATTAGAATTGTTTTTTCTGAGAACAGTTAGGTTTGCAGACATGGAAGGCTTTAAAAACCTAAATGGAAAGCCAGTCTTTTTTCTCTTAACAGGTAGGCTACCTCTTAACAAGTAGGCTACTAAGATTTTTTAAAATCTTGATTAGCTTAGACATGAGTAGCTACCATAATAACCTGTGACATTTACATATAATCATCTGGTTGTGTGACCTACCACTTATTTCTCTGGTTAGAGAATAAATTTCAAGTCTGTTTTTTTTTTTTTTTTTTTCCTACTTGCTGGATATTTTAGTAATAGATTTAGAATAGTACACCGAACCTAACAGGTAGAGAGAGGAGGGTGGTAGATGTGTCTCTGCTGAACTTAAGACCTGAGAATTTCATTTAGTCCAAAAAATGAATTTGCTACCATTCAAGAAATGGTTTCAAAAGCTACTTTTTAATTTATTTGTGATAGTACTAATTTGCTCAATTATTCTATTTTGAAAATAAAGCAGTTTGGGGAAGACAACTCAATCTTAAATGACACAAAAAAATCAGTTTTACAAAAGCAACAAAGAGGGGTGCCTTGCTGGCTCAGTGGGGAGAGCACCTGACTCTTGATCTCAGGGTTGTGAGTTCAAGCCCCACATTGGGGGCTTACTTTAAAAAAATTAAAATTAAAATTAAATAAAGAGCAACAAAGATATTTAACATAGATTTAGTAATTATTTCCCTCACAATCATAAGTGTTTGGTATCATAGAAAATAAGCCCTCTTTAAAAGTTCACTTGAAATACTACAGCACAAGGTTGTTATGGCCATCACAAATATATATCTAGGGGTGCCTGGGTGGCTCAGTCCGTTACGTGTCTGCCTTCGGCTCAGGTCATGATCCCAGGGTATTGGCATGGAGCCCCTCGTTTCAGTCTCTGTCTCCCTCTCCCCCTCCCCCTGCTCTCATTCTCTCTCTCTCTCTCACTGTCTCACTCTCATATACATGTGCTAATAAATAAAATCTTTAAGAAACAAAACAAAAACAAAAAACCCCCACAAATATACATTTAAAAGACATCATTAACCATTCTTACAGTAAGTAAGCAGGTATTTGTGGTTTTGGATAAATTTTCTAATGTCAACAAATATAATTCAGAATGTTAACTCTCAACATAGGTGATTCCCACTGAAAAACTAATAACCCACATTCCCAAAATGTATATATTCAAATTAACCAAAACATGTCTTGGATCTTTTCATTGGGAAAATGGAGGAATAGAGGTTTGTTTTATAGTCACACTTACTCCATAAATTCCTATTAGGAAAATATTTTAATACCTTATGACAAATAAATTAAGAAATTAGTATACATTATGAAAAACTATGTTGCAATAAAGGAAATTCTTAGCAGAATAAAAGTAATTACCAAGAGGCAGCCATATGGCACACAGCATACAAAGATAAGGACTAATATATTTTGCACTATTAAAAAGTATCTTGTGCATGTATATAAATGATATGTAAACATCTCAAAGATACGCTAAGTAAAAAGAGTAAGTTAGGGATTTTTAAAGATTTTATTTGAGAAAGGAGAGAAAAAGTGTGGGGGAGAGGGAGAGAGAATCTGAAGCAGACTCCACATTGAGCACAGAGCCCGACACAGGGCTCGATCCCACAAGGGAGAAGATCATGACCTGAGCCAAAACCAAGAGTTCAATGCTTAACTGACTGAGCCACCTAGGTGCCCCTAGGGATTTTATATAAAAATGGAAAAAAATATGAATTACAGTTATACTCAGTAAAAAAGATAACTCTCAAAATGCTATCAAAAGAAACTAAACATAGAGGAAACCACAGGCCATTTATATAAACTTTAAAGTGGGCAAAACAAACCTATCGTGTTAGAAGTTGGGATGTGGTTATCTTTGAAAGGGGGTAATGGCTGAGGTCACAATGAGGCTTCCAGGATGCCAGTGGTATTTAATTTCTTGACCTGGGTGGTAGCTATGTGTGTGTGCTCATTTTGTAACTGAACTGTGCACTTAAAATGTGTGTGCTAACTTCACGAAAAAGGTAAAAAGCAAGGTAGCAAACAGTGTTTACAACAGACTTTGGGGGAAGAAGAAAGGTTAGCACTGTTTGTTAACCATGCTTGTTAAACCACAGAATCATTAGGAAAACACGAAGAAACAGGTTACAATGGCTGCTTTGGGGGAGAATTAGATGGCTGAGAGCTAGGGAAGAAAAAAACTGCTTTTCACTTTTCTTCTTGTTTTTGCACTATTTGTGTGTGTTACCTATCCAAAATAAAATAAATCACAATAAAGTAAGTCAACTTTAATCAGAATACCCACAGGAGTAATACAAAAGAGGAACCGCAAGAGTAGGGTAGTGGGGGAAGTAAGGGAGAGAAATGAAAGGGAAAGAATGAAGTAAACAACCACCAATGACATTAAAACAATTTAGAGTCCCCAAGGAGCCAGATAAATCCAAATCTCACTTTATAGCTATCACTCATTGGGTGCCTACTGTGTATCTAGTGCTACATATATATTATTAATCTTCAAAGCAGACCTGCAAAATAAGGGTTATTTCCCTTCTAAAGATTAAGCTCAGAAAATGATTAGCCTAAAATCACAGAATAGTGGTGGAGTTTAGATTTGAACTGACAACATTTGTGCTTTTCTCTGTTAAAACACCGGGCAGTTTGATAACCTAGTATACTGCATCTTCCTCAGGGGGAAAAAAGCTAAAGGCAGAAATACTAACATTTACCTTTGTTCTCACTGGTAGAAAAACTCGAGATGGACAACTGCAATGACACATATATTTAAGACCTGGACGTGTCCAGAAAAAATTTATTTCAAAGATTATTTTTTAACAAATGAAGAAAATAAAGGCACACAAAGGAAAGTGTATTCTTTTGGTAAAGAATCTATCACATGAACTTACTATATTTAACTGCTGCAAATTTTTCTTACAAACACAATTTCCTGTCCTATTATACGGAAAAGCTATGCCCAAATATGACCACACTGACCTTCCAGATCTACTGCCGTAAGAGAACGTAAGTCGTATTTAGGTGTCTTTGGGTAGCTGAAGTTTTCCACTTACCTACAAGGAAGCCTTTCCCAAAAGAGCCACACCCAGATAGAATGATTGAGCATTCAATCACAGAATTACAATCAGTAAACAAGAGTGTCATTGGCTTTAAGAGTTGTTTCCAAGTTGTTTTACCTAATGCCGCCTCCACCAACACCTTTTTTTTTTTTTTTTTAAGTACAGTAACATAAAGCAGTAAGTCTTAGGAGTTAACACAAAAGGACCTGGACTTCTTCAGTTTGCTATTTTGTGATAATGGCTTTCATTGGGAACTCAATTCCAGAGATCATAAGTTCAGTGAAATTATGCCAGTTACCTCTCAGAGGCTATAGAATTAAGTTGATACTTTTAATACATTATGAGTTAACTAGAGGCCGATTGTGTGATAACAGGAAATAGATAAGAGATTCTACACTTTGTTCTAACACTAACCTTGGAAAAGTCAACACTGGCATGACTCAGTTTACACTGATTCAAAAATACTAATTTCTACCTCATAGTGGTAATGAGAGAGATAATTAGGGTCTACAAGCATTTTTCAGATCACAGGGTTAAAGGCTGCCTCTAAGGGCTCTGCACGCATTTCCTGTAGATGTGAGTACATCACATTTTAAAGACTATATTAGAGTGACTTCCCAGCATATATAAGTAATTTTCTGCGGGAAAAATTTTCTTCAGGAGTATGCAGAAGACATTTGTAAAAAAACAAACCTCTTAGAAGGGAACTTATCAACTCTTCGGAAATGCCCTAGCTTCCATTTCAGAAGGCCTCTGGGATGGTAATCAGTTTCCATCAGGCTGACGTCCCTAACTTTCTAGCTGTCAGATCGATAAGGGCCTGGAACTAACCCTTTCCCGCTCTTTGGAAAGGACCGTGGGCTGGCTGAGCCACAGCTGGAAAAACGAGCGTAGAAGAAATTAACAAGAAAACACACGGTTAAAATACTCAAAAAGGACGCGAAACCAGGGGCTGGGGACACAGGGGCCCCCACAGGGTAGCGCCTGGGTGAGAAAACAAGCCGGGACGCTGGAGTGGTAACGCCGACGGCTCGGTACCCCCTGCGACACCCCGGACAGCCCTGCCGTCTGGAAGTGCCTTTGTCCGGCTCGGCCAGTCAGTCCGCCGCCTCTCCCCGCACCTCCCGAGCGCTTTGCCCGACGCGACAGCCCCGGTGGCCGCCTGACAACTCTGGCACTCTCCGCCCGCCCCTTAGCTAGCCCGGCTCGGCCGGACATACTAACCGGCTGGTAGACGCCATCTTCACGGCCACTGCGGTCCCAGCTAGAAGCCACAACAGACGCACCAAGAACAGGAAGAGATCGTGGCGACGAGACGCGCTAAGACGGGCTTTTATAGGCGAGCCACCCACGCAGTCGTAATAGGGCGCGGCTACGGGTCGGGAGAAAGGCCAAGAAAAGTGAGATTCTGTGCGCCACGTGCTTTGCGTTTTTTTATTTTCCTATTCCGTTTCTGTGATTTGCCCTGCTGCTGAGCGAATCAACAGAACTACCTAGGAAAATTCCCAAGGCAACTCTACAAACGGGCTACACCAAAGATACCCTCAACTGGACTGAGTTAAAATACAAAGACAACCCGGCCTTCGTAGTGGGGGCAAAGCCCACATTCCCGAGGGTTTACTACCCACCTCCCAGCCTGCTGTCAGTTAGGCCAGTTTGAGCGCAAATCTTACTTGCCCGGAGGGGCGATTCCACTTAAGGAATTTGGAATAAAGAGAGAAATTCACTTAGGTCAGCCAGAACAGGTGTCAATGCAGACTCTGTCATCAGCTAGCAAGCTGTTTCTTCTTAGGCACATTCCTTCTCCTTTCTGTGCAAGGGGAAATAGTATCTGCTTTGCATACCCTTTTAGAACTGGCAGGAGATGAAACAAAACCTCGTGAGAGCACTCTGCACCCCTGAGGCGGGGAGCTGTGGGCCCTATCCTAATTTTTTTCCATGGCCTTTGCAAATTTGGCTGATAGCCGAAGTACAGAGAACTTAGTAGAATGTTTGATACCTCAAAAGGACCCTAGATTTATTAATTAGCCAAACTAACGTCAGAATAGTAATAATAATAGCAATACCACCACCAATCTGCTGAAAATAAACCAACCTTGACCCTGTGGGAATCAGAGGAAAGAGGGTGCTCCAGGTTTCTATGGGGATGAGGACTTAGAATATAGTGGCTGCTTTGTTCACTTGGGCTTGGCACCTAAATGCCACTGAGCCCTCATTGTTTTCTTGAAAGGTGGGAAAGGCTCGCTTCCTCAGAAAGAACAAGGGGTGTAAGAAGCAAAAGTTTAGGAACTGAAATCTGAAATCCAGCTGGAGATGGGAGAGCTTTTTTTTTTTTTTTTTTTTTTTTTCTTTTTCCAGTCTTCCAATCTGTAATTCTGTAATTTAAAAACTTGACTGACTGCTTGACTGTACTTTGGCTGGTCGGGGGTGGGAGGTGGGGTTCTCCCTTAATATCTGGAAAAGTTTCAAAAATGCCAGTTCATTTCAGCTGTGCCAAATGCAACCAGAAAAGGGCTTGGGGGTGCTCCACCCCATTGGGGCAGGAAGTTTTTATAGATAGAGCACTTTGACTTGGTAGAAAAAGGGGGAGAGGAGGAGGAGGGCAACTAGACACCTCTGGAAGATCAAGAATAAGGACCTACCACCTAATGGTTTATGGTAGGCATTCAGTAATGTTTGCAGAAGAAAGAAATCAGAGAAGTTGAAACCCCAGAGGAAAGAAGCTGGGCAACCTGTTAAATTACTTCTGCCCCCACCTGGAGGGTCTCTTATCTGTCATAACCTAGTTAGGATTTCTTTTATATTAAAATAGAACAATTTAGGTAGGTCATTTTTTTTCTTTTGTTTGTACAGCATAGGCAATTTATATAGCATTTCATCAACATTTATCCCATTTAATCTTTACATCTGATCCTGAGATTAAAATACACAACACACACACAGACACACAGACACACAGACACACAGACATACAGACATACACACACACACGCACACGCACGCACATAGAGTTGGGGTTTTATCATGTAGGAATCAATGACCCAGACTAACATTTACCAAAACTTCTGGTTTGTCAGTATCTTCATTTCTATTTAACTTCAATATGTGAATGAATTAAGTAAACTAATTCATTCATATCAATTACTTAAATTAATTCATCTTTTTTAACTTAAACATTTATTTTAAAAGTTCACATTGCTACTGTGAAATCAAAATTGATGTGCTAGTTATCGTTCTTCTAAAGTATAAAATGCTTTACATACCTAATAATTTTTGAGAAGTCTGTGATCCATCTAGATATTTTTTTTTATTTATTGAGGTGTTACATACCACAGAATTCACCTGTTTAGAAGTCAGTGACTTTCAGTAATTTAAAGGGTTTTTTTTTTTTAAGATTTTATTTTTAAGTAATTTCTACACCCAATGTGGAGCTTGAATCCACAACCCCGAGATCAAGAGTCACATGCTCTACTAATTGAGCCAGCCAGGCACCCCTTTAGTAATTTTACCAAGTTGTGCATACATCCCTAATCCAGTTTTAGCACATTTCCGTCATCCCAGTAAGAGCACTCATGCCCAGGGGTGCTGGGTGGCTCAGTAGGTTAAGCATCTGCCTTCAGCTCAACTCATGATTCCAGGGTCCTGAGATCAAGCCCCACATCAGGCTCCCTGCTCAGTGAGGAGCCTGCTTCTCCCTCTCCTCCCCACTTGTACTCTCTCTCTCCCAATCTCTGTCTCTTCACTCTCAAATAAATAAATAAAATCTTTTTTTTTTTAAGATTTTATTTATTTATTTATTTGAGAGAATGAGATAGAGACCATGAGAGGGGGGAGGGTCAGAGGGAGAAGCAGACTCCCTGCCGAGCAGGGAGCCCGATGCGGGACTCGATCCCGGGACTCCAGGATCATGACCTGAGCCGAAGGCAGTCGCTTAACCGACTGAGCCACCCAGGTGCCCCTAAAGAAAATCTTAAAAAAAAAAAAAAAAAAAAGAGCCCACTCATGCCCATGGACAGTTAATGTGAATTCCACTTCCAGCCCCAGGAATCACTTTTCTGGACTTTTCATGTAAATGGAATCATATAATATGTGGTCTCTTGTGTCTGGCTTCTCAGCATAATGTGGTGGAGGTTCATTAAATCTAGCTTGTGGCCTCACTTTTGGAAACATTGAGAGAAAATGACATTTTCCTAACCTAAGCAAGGTTTGACAAATATTTGTTTAGAAATTATATGACATATTCTGCCAGACTAGGAAGAATGGAGGATTCAATGAAATGTATGGCCAGATCTGACTTGGACTCTTGGAAATGGGATGAAATGCCCAGAATATTAGATAAGCCTCATGTGCCTGATGCCTAATATAATAGGTATTACTTCTAGAAATGTGAGGGTTTTTTAAAATTTTCAAAATTTTTATCATGCACAAAGATGTTCAAACACTAAAAATTAGAGGGTATAATGTAATGAATCTTCATTACCTCTCTTCCTGATTAAACAATTACCAAGATTTTGCCACATTTGTATCATGTATCCTTTTCTTTACGTCTCCCCTTGCTAAAGCATTTTATTTTATTTTATTTTATTTTATTTTATTTTATTTTATTTATTTTTAAGTAGGCTCCATGCCCAATGTCAAGCTTGAGCTTACGACCCGGAGATCAAGAGTTGCATGCTCCACTAACTGAGCCAGCCAGGCGCCCCTAAAGCATTTGAAAAACAAATCCCATCTATCATACATATTTTGACTCATACATATTTTAGTGTGCCTGTCCAAAAGATATGGACTTGTAAACCTTTTTTAATATAACATTATAATACTTCCTATATTACCAATGATATCTTTACACACTGAGTTTTCCATTGGTGATTGTCCTGGGCCTGCTTTGTGGTGGTTTGGTTTCACCAGGCTGAACAGTAAGACTTTGCTGAAGGCGGCAGGGAGCCAGAGAGGTAAACGGAGGGCCCCATATGCAACTGCAAGAACTGAGGTCCTTATGCTTCAGGCCATCTCTTAGGTACCTCACATTCCGCTTAAGTTATCTCCTTCTTGGTTATCACATCAGGCAAGATATTATTCTTCTCCTTCTAAAGGCTTAGAGAGGTTGAGTAGTTAAAGCGCCCAGAGTCGCACGATAAGTTAGTGGTGGAGGTAGAATTCAAACCCAGAAACGCCTGACTCTAAACCTTTCCCCCCTCTGTGCAAGCCGACTGTGTAACTGATACCGCAGGACTGTATTCGGGGACCCAAAGTCCTGCGCCCTGGGAAATATAGATTATATTTGTAGAGGCGTTCACTATCATTTTGACTCTTTAATAAAGACATAAATTTTTCTTTAAATTCAGATAGAGGTAGTAATAAAAATTAATAATCGTGAAATTAATAATAGCAACATACGCCCATAGAGTGCTTGCTATGTGCCAGGTACTATTTTAAGGCTTTGCATGTATTAACTCATTTAATCTTTCCAACAACTCTATGAGCTGGTTACTATTCTTGTCCCCATCTAATAGGTAGGGAAATTGAGGCACAGGATGTTTAAGAATAGCCTGTAATCACACAGCTAGTAAATGGCAGAGCTGGAATTTGAACCCTGGCGATTTGGCATCAGAGTCCACGCCGTATGGTTCCTGATAGAAACTCAATGTACGGAAATTCAGTTTACAGACTTTAGGACCAAGGAGTGGATTCAACAAGCAGTGTACCTGGAGCAGTCATGTGGGCTTGATTTTATGGGGCAGCTGTACTCCAAAATATTCTGATCAGCTGTCTGCATAAGGATACTCGTGTTTGTCAGACTATGTGCTGCCTACACAGAAATGTGCCTGGCTCATCTCCCACTGCTAAATGTACTTACATATGTGATCCTGAATTTAACTTTTCCATTTGTTTGTTGATTTATGTGACATCTTTTATTACCCAGTATTGGCAGCTAGTTTGTCCTCCACTTGAGAATAAAGCTAGCCTTTCACTGAGAAAAGCCAGTAGTTTCTCCACATGCTAGGAAGTAGAATTGAGGCTTAAAACATTAATAATATATAAATAGAAAATATTAACTGTCAGTTATCTCCTTACAGGATCAGGGAGGAAGCTTGATAGAAATTAATTCAGTTTTTAATTCAATGTTCAGTGAGTAGTAGTTTTCTTTTAAACTTCTACAGTACTCTGATAAGGGGAGCCTGAGTGGCTCAGTCGGTTGAGTGTTTGCCTTCTGCTCAGGTCATGATCCCAGGGTCCTGGGATCGAGCCCCATGTCGGGCTCCTCGCTCAGCGGGAAACCTGCTTCTCCCTCTCCCTCTGCCTGCCACCCCCCCTGCTTGTGTTTACTCTCTCTCTCTTTCTCTTATTTATCATCTATATCCTCCCAAAAT